GCGCACGATGAGGTCGGAGGTCTCCTGCCCATTAAAAGGACTATACGAGTCCTCGACGTGAACAACCAGTCCTTCCGAGAGCAGGAGGTAAGACTGGAGGAGAACAGCCCAGGGAAGGTTTCTAACGCCACGAAACTTACCCTCTTGAACAGTGTATTAACAGTATGACGCTAAACTGAACTTTTGCTCTTACTGAGCACTAAAGTGGCCTTGATTCACATGTAGGTTTGAAATGTGTTTACGCATAGCATTACTTAAGTGTATATAAACTTTTATACAAAAGAAAAATATTTTAAATGTATATACTTCAGTTTGGTTGAATTGGTCACATTTCTGATGTTTAATTCAGTTTTTTGTTTGGTTAGATTTTGTTTTGGGGTTGTTTTTTTTTTTTTTTTTTGGTCTTGCATTTATTTCTGTTACCTATTCAGTCTTAGAAACTGGGCTGTGGCGTAAGCAGAAAGTAGGAATCCCTTAGTTACAAGTTAATGCTAGTGAACAAAATGCCAGCGTTCATTTTTAATTTTCTTTCTACATCTAATAAGTTCGTTGTGTGTGGCTTTGTCCTTCAGAAAGAAAAATATGTTAAATTATTTAAGCCAGCGAATCATTATTTAGGTACTTATGCCTGTCCTTGCTTTAATTACCTAAAGTTATTGTACTTTTTTAAGGTCTTTATGAACATTTATCAAATTAAGTGACTTTTATGCCACTTATTTAATTTTAATAGTTAATGCTATGTGCTCGTTCTATATATATAACAGCAATAGATATACTCTATGGTATGTACTTTGTCATTGCTGATGGAATAGAAATATCATTCCTGTATTCGGTTAACTATATGCCGCTGCTTTGAGGTGATGGTTTTGTGGCCATGTACCTATATCAAAACTTACGTAATTATACATTTTAAATATGCGCAGTGTATTGTGTGTCTCAGCAAAGCTGTGTGTCTCTCACACACACACACACACACCTTTGGTAGTTAAAATAGCTGCTATCTTTAAAAGACGTGATTTGGCTTTGGTTTTCGTTTTTCTGTTTGGTTTTGGCTTTTGTGTTTCAGTTTTCGCAAAAGTGGTCATCAGTGTAAATACTAAAGCAGAACTAGTCTTGTTTGGTATCAGACACTGACCGTGTTTACGGCATACCTTTATTCCAAAGATTAAAAACACCAGGAATGTCATCAGGCTTTTAGCAGCACAGCCTTAAATAAATAACTATATTTGACTATTTATTACTAAGAGGAAAGGGAAGAAATCCTATGTGATCATAACTCATTTTTATCTTTTTATAAATAACTTTTTCTTTTCATTCTTCTTAAAGCTTTTGCCAAATAGAGGAGAAAATTACTTATCCAGTAACCCAAATGAGTACACCCAAACACTTACTTGTTTTTTTGTGTCTTGATTTGGTTGATTCTACAAAAGATGACCCCCCCCAAAGAAGTATATCCTCTATGTGACATCCTGAGGAGAAAAAAAACCTCTTTACAAAAAAACGGGGTTCACCTCAGAGCTTTTCCATATTGTTGCTTTTATGCACAAGGTACATCCCAGTAAAAGACTTTAAATTGTTTTTAAGAATTTTCTGTTTGTAGCTATACAGAAAATATTTTAAGGCATAAAATCTGAGTACAACTGGGTTAGTGAAATAAATAGATTGATTAAATACTAGGTCTCAAGTCAGATTCCCTATAACAATACATATGATTGCCTGGCTAACCTAGATAGTCTGGTTAAAAGCTAACTTAAATAAACAACATAAATTTATATTAGAGGGTGTTGGGTTTTTTCCCTCTAAGTGAACTTTAGCCCTAGTGAAAGGTTGCCGACAGTAGAAAGTTCCTTGAACGTGTGAAACTTGTTCATGTTCTTTATTGTTCCCCTGGGTTTTCAGATCATTTTTGTTTTTGAAGGAGGGTATCCAGTTTCACTATCTGTACCCATTCTTTAAGCTTCTTATGTTTACTGAGTGTTGAAGTGTTTACTATGTTTGAAGTGTTGCTAACAACACTTCAAAACAAAAATGACATGACAATAAAACCAGGAAGAAAGCCTTATTTGGGTACTGGTAAGGCAGGTAGATGCCTACCTTCTGTTTCTTCACTTACAGAGGGACAGACATGGGTGGATTCCCAGCACTCCCCACCAGAAACCAGGGGAGGTTAGATGGCTCGTCTCAGCCTCTAAAGAAACACTGCTCTTGGTTGTAGCTCAAACAGACCAAATTCTAACCCATAAAAGACAATTTGTTGTCCCTACCTTATAAAGGTGACCTATAGCACTTTTCCATAACAGTTGTCTCTGATTTTTTTCTTATGTGTTTATCCTGAGATTAGTGAGCCATATTCAGTATTACATCTTTGCCTTTCAATCATACTTTTTGAATTAGTTATTCATTAAAGTTTTCTGTACTTTTGTAATAAGTATATATGCTAAAAGTTTGTGTTGCATCTTACAAGCATTCTTCACATGTGAATGTTTAGTAAGGCATGAAAATTACTTTCAGATACCAAAAGCCAGTGTGGAAAGTACGAAGATGCCTTCTCACCCCAAGCCCTCCTCCGTGTACTCCTGATTCAGCACTACTTTGGTACAGACTTAAGAGTATCTTGCTCTGTGACAGAGCTAGCCAGGCGCTCCTCCCAGACGTTTTAGATTAGATACACTCCTGAGACTGGCATCTCCTTTGTGAAGCAGTGAGATTATGGGTGAGCTTCTCAAGGGCTGGGAACATATGTAACACCATACATATACCCCACCGCCCTCAGAGAGAGAATCCACATTTCAGTTTTAGTTTCAAAAGGATGCTTTAGATATCTTTACATTTAATTACCTAAATTAAATTCAGTAGTTTTCATTTTAAATATCGCAGTTTTACGTTACCAGGAAATTAGTAGTTGTACTGACTGATCCAAAGATAAGTTTTTATTTTATGTATTAAAATAGATATCAGAAATTCCTTTCCTTCCAGCTAAACTTAACTTTTCCTTTCAAATTCACTGGGAAGAGCACGTTTCCAGAGACTTTTCAATTGAAATTAAATATTTTATGATTTACCAGGAAGTCAGATTGGTTATGCTCTAAACAAGGGTGAGGAATTAACCTCTCCTTCCAATCGGTGAAGCAGATCTTTCTGACAACTGCTCTGTTTCTCCTTGGTGCTGGCATATCTTACTTTGTGAGGTAATTCTATCTCTGTTCACACAGAAGCGTCTTTGTCCTGCCTTTACTAAATAGAAAGGAATGCCTTCTGCCTGCCTTCTGCCCGCACATATGTCCCTTCAGTCTTGTACAGATGGGTCTGGTAAAGGCATTCACACATGTCCTCAACCACACAGTGCATCATTTTAGTACATATATCGGGAGGTTTCTTTTTCAGTTCATTTAACATTCGCACACTTGTGGCTTTATAGTCACGGTTTTACTTCGGAGTCACTTATTTGGGGTGGGGTGGGGGCTGGCCTGCTACACTACCTCTTCAGGACTGACCAGGGGCCTGGAATGTGTGGTCTGTCTGCAGAGCTTCCTGGCCATGGTCGACTGTGTCCACACCTTCAGAGCCTCGATAGGTCTCTTTGCTTATTTGGATATTCCATCATTTAAGTTCTTTCTGGAGGATTTTAACCCTTTCTGCCACTCTATGCTCAAATTATTCTCAAGGGATTATTTTTACTCACTTTGCTCTTTTTCATGACTTGGGTCATAGCAAAGATTTTTTAGAAAAAAATTTCATCTGTCATTTTTCAGTAGTGAGTTTTGTATAATTTTTCATGATGTACCCTTCTGTAGCCTCATTAAAATTTTGTCAAGTATGCCACAATTGCCAAAGGCACCAAAACTTACAAACAAATAATTATGCACCATAGACAGTATAAAGGGTAGGACTGTTTTATGATCTAACCTTCATTACCTAGGCAGCTGTGTGAGTCACCTGGTGGAGTGCCTCCTCTCTCCTAGCTGTAAAGTTAAAGAAATGCAGTTTGTAAGGTTTTGGAATCTTTGGTAAATGATGTGTTTGCTATATTATTATTGTTTTAAAAGCAGTATATGTAAAATAATTATATTTTCTCAATCTGTGTATATTTTTCCTTGATAATTAAATGTATGAGAGGATCTAATTATTTATAAATACCAGCGTTTGCATAGTAAGTGGAAATATTCCTGAGAAAGGATGTCAGTAATAGCTAAAACTCAGTATGTTCCAAGAACTATTCTGAACCCTTTAAACATCTTATTTAATCTTCATATCACCTTTATAAGAGAAGTTCTCATGTTAACCCCATTTTACAGATGAGAACATTGGGAATCAGGACGTTTCCTGTCAAGTGTCAGAACCAGGATTTGGGCCCACATGGTCTGAGTCCAGAGGCTCAGCCTCCTTTTAACCACTGTTCTACCTGTGCTTGAACACCTCCCACCACAGGGACATGGCTGCCTTGGAGCTGACTCATCCCAATGTCAGATGCCTTCATTTAAAGGCTGTTCTTTAAGTGAAGTATTTAAGAGTGAAATGATAGAAGGTCTGGCATTTGCTATAAAATATTTCAGTATGGGCACAGATGAAACCAGTTGTTAGACCAAGATCCATTATGCAATTCTCCCCTTTTGTGAATGTTTGATTTTTCATAATAAGAAGGTGTTTTTTTAAAGTTACTCTCTATATTAAGCTAAAAGTTTCTGTGGGATTTTAGAATCTAATTCTTTTGTTTTAATTTTGGATTTTTTTGCTGTTGTTGTTGTTTAATGATATGTTATGTTCTCAGTGATGTTCAGATATTTGACCTTTCTTGTACCATTTATTTTTTAATTTTCTGTTCCTCATAGTGTTCTTCATATTTTAACAATGAGAAACAACATTCACTTTCAGAGTTCCATGTTTCTTGTATATACTGTACAAATATCTGACTTTTGAGAGATCTTAATGTTTTGTCCAAACTTGCTTGAAATCATTATGCCTAAACACATGTTTAGTATAACTTGTTTTTGTTTTCACAGGAGCCAAGCAATAAAAGAGTGCGACCTCTAGCTCGGGTCACATCCTTGGCAAATCTGATCTCTCCTGTAAGAAATGGAGCTGTCAGGCGGTTTGGTCAAACATTACAGGTAGGAGCAAGTAATGCAGTGAGGTGACTTTTTATAGAAGCCTAAAATTTGCATTTTCTTTGAGCTGTACAGACAGGTTTGTACTGTTACACTTAAATATAATTTTCCTCTTTTGGAATAAGCTGTTAAGTAATGTTGTTGTCAAAACAGTATTTATATAATCTCATTATATTAGTTTACATCTTAGAGCAAAGCAAGAACTTGGATAGTTTTTATTCCCAGAAAGTAATTTTGACTGACAAATACTTTATAATACTGTCAGATTGAAGCTGACATAAAAGACTTTTATGCATAAAGAAATTGTCAGAACCTTTTTTTTTTTTTGAGGAAAAAATAGTTTCTGTATCCTCCAAAGCTTTTTCTTTTTCACTTTTTTCTTTTAAGTCATTTACCCTTCGTGGTGACAGCAGATCCCCAGCTTCAGCCCAAAAGTTTTCCAGCAGGTCGACAGTCCCAGTGCCTGCCAAGAGGAGAAGCAGCGCCCTGTGGTCGGAGACGTTAGACGGCAGCATGAAGCAGTCTCTAACCTCCAGGGAGATCAGACGTCAAGAGGTGTGCGCCCCACAGCAAAACTGTGTGCACTAGCATAAACTGAAACATAGACTCTGATTCTTAAACATGTGCTTTGCCAGAAGAATAGCAAACTAACACCTCCGGCAAGGTAGAATTGCATTTTTGCATTTGAGTGGCCGTTTTCAGCACTTGCAGAGGGTGGTGGTCATTTGGTTTAACACCCTGATGGGGTAAAATATGAAACGTATGGCATCCTCTTATTAGAAGTTCCATTCTGAATTATAGTGTTCAGAATGAGTCACTTTGAAAAGCGCTGTTCAAGCATCAGTTAAATAATGGTAACTATGCATTGTATGTGATTTTCCTTTCTGAAAGGAAGGAGTGACCTGTGATGTTTGCTGGATTTTTTTAGGCAATCTATGAAATGTCCCGAGGGGAACAGGACTTAATTGAGGACCTCAAACTTGCAAGAAAGGTCAGTAAAGAACTTTCTCTCCTGTGCCATAGGTTTTAAAAATTATGTTCCACAAATTCTTAAGGGTGTTACCTTTAGAAGTTGAAAAGTAGAGAATATCTACTGGTGAATACTAATTTTAGATGAGGTTTATTAGAGGCATTTCTTCAAATATGAATATCAGGAAGAGTTTTTCAAGATTAACGTGTACTTTAATTTCTATTAGGTATAAAATAATATCCACTCTGGTTTTTACATAGTCAGGCTTGATTCACATGCCGACCTCTCTTCGTGTTTTATTTGCTTGATCTGTGTGTGACGCACTTCTCCCCTCCAACAGGCCTACCACGACCCCATGTTAAAGCTGTCTATTATGTCAGAAGAGGAGCTCACACATATATTTGGTGATTTGGATGCTTATATACCTCTGCATGAAGGTAAGGTGTGCTCCCTAATTTTCGTAAGATTCTGAACAGCAACAACAATTTTAAATCTAAACTTCTAATTTAATTCAGCATATTTTTAAAATTTTTATTGACATAGAGTTGATTTACAAAATTAGTTTTAGGTGTACAACATAGTAATTAATATTTTTAAGTATTATACTCCATTTAAAGTTACGGCTACAATTCCCTGTGCTGTGCAGTATGTCTTTGTAGCTTGCTTATATCATACACAGTAGTTTGCACCCCTTAATCCCCTACTACTGTCTTGCTCCTCCCTGAATTGTTTTTAAGTAAACTTGTTCTTGGAATTTCTGCTTTCTTACACTTCAGATTTGTTGGCAAGAATAGGAGAAGCCACCAAGCCTGGCGGGACAGTGGAGCACGTTGGCCACATTCTTGTGAACTGGGTACGTAGCATGTTTATGCAGACAGGGCGGGCTTGTCACTTGTGATCAGGATCGCACTGATTTGATCCAGTTAGTGGATTCTAAAATCAGATAAATGGGACTCTAAAACTGAACAAATGTACATAGAAGTTACAGTCACTGTTTAAGAAAAACATATCATGAATGACACTGTTTCATTTGTTTTAAAAATATGTTCCTCCTTAAACAGAATTCCCATGTTACATGCTGTTAATTACCTGTCTAACTCTCTCAGTTAACATCTGAGTGCCTGCCGATGCCAAGCCCTGTTCTCGGAGGGACGGCTGAGGTTTGGTGATGAAAGACAGCCTTTGCATGTACAGTCAAGTGAGAGAACAGTCACCCATTATCACCTGCAGGAGAATCTTCACAGCTTGTTAAAACTTTCACGAATAAGTTTCATGTCATGTGCTTGCAATCTCACTAATGGACTATACTTTGATTTCTCTTACTGCTGTTTAGTTGCCGGGCTTGAATGCCTACAAAGGCTACTGCAGTAACCAGCTGGCAGCCAAGGCTCTTCTGGATCAGAAGAAACAGGACCCAAGAGTCCAGGACTTTCTCCAACGGTGCCTGGAGTCTCCCTTCAGCCGAAAACTGGATCTCTGGAGCTTCCTGGATATTCCTCGAAGCCGCCTTGTCAAATACCCTTTACTGTTGAAAGAGATTCTTAGACATACTCCCAAAGATCACCCAGATGTTCAGCTCCTGCAGGAGGCTGTAAGTAGCCCAAGAAGTTTTTCCTGTGCTTTGCCAGTTTGCATGTTAGCTTGCCTGAGAAAGATACACAGCGATCCCCTCACAGCTTCTGCATGCTGAATGAGTACATGAACTTTCAGTTCTCGTGGGTTAGCTCACTGTGCACTAGTATAAAGGTGTAACATATGTTTTATTTATGTTTTAGTCGGGAGACTGGGTTCTAATGTGACCTCTTCCATTAGCTAGCTCTGTGACTTAAGGCAAATCACCAGTGTGGCTGACAGCGTAAAATGAAGGGATTGACTGAATTATCTGATTCCTGGGGTCCCTTCAAGCTGTAAAATTTTATCATTTTAATGCAACATTTTAGTCCTGTAGGAAAATAAGGATAAATTAATATGCTGAAAATGCACCATTGATTTCTTTATATATATATAATTTTTTAGATACTGATAATACAAGGAGTTCTCTCTGATATCAACGTGAAGAAAGGTGAATCAGAATGCCAATATTACATTGACAAGCTGGAGTATCTGGATGAAAAGCAGAAGGACCCTAGAATTGAAGCAAGCAAAGTGTTGCTCTGCCATGGGGAACTGAAAAATAAAAACGGACATGTAAGTGCATCTAACACTAATATGAAGTGAGCAGTTCCTGCCCTTTTCCCATTGTTTAGTTTTTTCCACTTGAATTATGAAGCAGGTTTATAAAATAAACTCATCACATACTGAAAGTAACTGGATTTTATGTTCTCAGCTTTGATAAAGTAAATAGTTGGTTTCTGTAAGTGACTTAAATGTCTTGGTGAAGAGTCAGTAATAATTTATTTTTTAGTTTTGAAGCATAAGTCAACTTGTTTGGCTAGGGGTTCCTTTCTAAATAACTTACTAGTTTTATGATGTTTAATAAAAAAGTACATTCTTCAGAATCATTTTTTGAAGAGTTTATAGTATTGGAAGTTTTTAGCACTATGAAACAAACTTTTACAGCAGACAGAATGATAGCAGACTTCTTTTCTCAATCTTAGTTACAAAGGTACCTGCTGGAACTAAGTATACACATGGAATGGTTTTTTTATTTCATCATGTGCTTTTCAGAAGCCCAATTCATAAGTTGAGGTTATTTTTGGAAAAAGTTAATCTTCCATCTCTGATTTCTCTTACAAGGCCTCATTGTTCTGTAAAAGCTTAGGTTTGTCTCTGTTTAGAGAAAACAGAACCATTAACATTTTTACCAGCTTACATTTTTAAGTTCTCACCCTGTTAGAAGACTGTAGTGTACAGTCCTGGCATTTCCAGTCACGCCGCCACCGACAGGTCTTTGTGGTGCGTGGCGTTTGCTCAGCTGCTGCTGATCTAATGTTACACATGGACAGAAAAGTTGTGTATAGTCTACAGTGAGAAAAACTCTCCAAGGAGAACGTGCATTGCTTTTAAAGCACCATCTTTATGAAGTCATTTGTAAGGGGATGTTAGTAAATCAATTTGATAAAATTAAGATCCAGTCACGTTTTTTTAACAATGGATTTCACTCAAAGTCACAAAGTGCTACATTTAAGAAGTATTTGTTTCTTGCTTCTCCAGAAACTGTACATTTTCCTATTTCAAGACATCTTGGTGTTGACTCGGCCTGTTACTCGAAATGAGCGTCACTCCTACCAGGTTTACCGGCAGCCCATCCCTGTCCAGGAGCTAGTCTTGGAAGACCTGCAGGATGGAGACGTGAGGATGGGAGGGTCCTTCCGAGGGGCTTTTGGCAACTCAGATAAAGGTACCAGTCACACTTTAAAATGGTTTCAAAGATCATAAACTCTAAACGTGAATGATTTCAGCTATGATAATTAAGAATCTGTCCCCAGACAAAACACTAAACATGAAATGGGTTCTGTCGTCCCGACCTGGTCCACTCGCTGAGTTGTCAGGTGCTGTGGCGCTCTGACTCCAGCATGTGTACCTGATACACATGGGCACTGCCTCATACATACATAATACGTAGGGCACTGCCTCCTAGATAGATGTGCCTGCTGTGGCGAGACCAGCACCCATACTCATGTAGTCTGACCACATCATCTAGGATAAGCTTTCTAAGTCTGATTTCCTTTTGTCAATGTTTATTTTTCTAGCTAAAAACATCTTCCGAGTTCGCTTCCAAGACCCCTCTCCGGGCCAGTCCCACACTCTCCAAGCCAACGACGTGTTCCACAAGCAGCAGTGGTTCAGCTGCATCCGCACCGCCATCGCCCCTTTCCGACAGGCCACCAGCCCCTCGGAGTTCCACGAGGAGTGCGGGGAGAACCCCACCACCACCAGCAATGCTAGGGCCCAGAGACAGGCGTCCACGGCCTCTAGCATGACTCAGGGCGAAGCTGATGGAGACACTGCCGAGTGTGGCGCCCTGGTGCATACAGCAGACAACACTACGGGCGTAAAAGCACCCCGAGCCCAGACCAGCCTCCGCAAAGCCAGGGACAAAGCCCAGGTCGGTGGCAAGCGGAAGGAGACCCTGGTGTAAAGGAAGCTCTGGCTAGCAGCTGGGAGAGACTTTATTTATGACCTTGTACAGTTTTTCTTTCTGTCCTATGAGCACGGCAGTGTTACTTAGTACCGTCTCATGTCTTCTGTGTGTGTGGTTGGTTTTGGTTGTTGTTCTTTTATTTTTTTTAATGGCAGCTAAAGATATATATACAGATTACTGTTAAACTGCAGTTTTTTGTTTTTGTTTTTGTTTTTTTCCTTCTCGAATCATTTAGAACATGCAAACCTGGTATTTTTAATCAAATGAAATACTTAACGGGTATTCTCATTCTGCATTCATCATGACTTTTTAATACCAATTGTGATACTTATAGTATTTGCCAAAACTTAAAATTTTGCAAATACCAGGATTTTACCAGTGTTTCTTTGATGAACTTTGCATGCAGAATTTGAAATTGTAACATTGGCATCTAAGATCTACTTGGAATGTCTGTAATATTTCAAAATTTACATTGAAACATAAGTTCCTTGGAAAACAAACAAAACTTAATAGGTTTTCCATTTTGCCAACTGGAATGCTTTTTATTAGTTTGTTTTTCACTGCACATTCCTCATTTTTCATTGATTTAACCTGCCGATTATTTAATTTTTTTTATTGTAAGGTAGTTTTTAGTATTTCCTTTTTATTTTTTTACTTTGATCCCTTTTCAAATTGGCATGTCTTTAAAGTATTTTTCTCCCTTGATTAAAAATGTGTGTGTGTGTGTGTGTGTGTTTTTAAATCATATTAACTTTACCAAGTGAAATCAAGCCATACTGTTTTTGAGCCAATTAAGAAAATTGCGATTTTTAAAATGTAGTGTTTCAGGGTGGTGGACACACATGAAATGACTCAGTGTGTTCTGAACTACTGAAAGAAAACCATCTTAAGGATTTCATGGAAAGTTAATATTCTCTGAAAAGCAAGAGGGAAGGCAATTGACTGGTAATAGGTATTTTTTTTAAAAAACAGATGGAAAAAGAGTGTAGTTTTGTCTTAAAGTAAAAATGTCTGATTATGCCAGACATTTCTGAGAAGAGATAGTAAAAGCTGAAGTCGAGAGTATGTAGTAAGTCGTAGAAGGCTTGGGGGATGTGAACTGTGTTTGCCTTGGTTTACAGTACTTGCAAATAAGGGGTTTGAAAAGAAATGTGTTGAAAATTTGACCATATTAGATGCATTCTGGCAGATTTATTTGTTAAGAGGGGAAAAGAGATTGGTGTTTTACGCTGAAATGTTTCTGTTCAAATGCAATCATTGTCTTAGATGGGGGAGGACTGAAAACCCATGTCGTGGAAGATTTGTTATGGTGACCGTTCCAGTAAACGTGGACTGTTATGTGAACTGTATCTGGCCAGTGGAAATGAAAACTGAAAAAGACTGTAAATAATTAATTCCAAATGATTTCTCTGTATAAATGAATTGTACAATTAAAAAAAGAGTCACACCCATAATCACCCTAAAGGTTTCCTGACTGGTGGATGTTTGCTGGACCTCTGCCAGAACATGCTGCTACAGCCAAGGAGGTGATGACAAGCCTCACAGAGGTTTTAGAAGGTCACACATATGCCTTCAAAATGCATCAAAAAGTAAGAGAAAGATTAGATTAGGTCAAGTTTTTTTAATCTTATTAAACCAATTAGAACACACTCTAATCAGAAACAGCAGTTGAAGACAGCGGAACACCTGGCCACTTTCTGGATATAGTAGTCAAGCTAGTAACAAAGGACCTTCATTAATTAATTTCAGATTTTAATTTAGGTAACTCAGGTTTCTAGCTCTGCAAATTCAAACCCAATAGTGTAGATTACACCAGTGGTTGTGATCAGAAATCAGCAAGATTTCTAATCATTCCTAGAGATGTTGTAAGATACAGTTTCTTCCAGAGGTACCTTGATAAGCTTCCTAAGTTGTTGAAACAATAGTTCAGATGTTCTTAATCAAAAGATGTTTTATTAGAAACTGTATAGCTTTCTTGGGATCGCTCTAGGGAAGAAATAAGACCCAGAAACTGAGTAACTGTGTAGAATGAACACCCTTCAGAAATTGCATCTGTATTTGAAAATCTCTGATTATTTATTGCAGTAGTTCTCAAGCCTGTTTGGGCATCAGAGTCATGAGGGGTACTTTGAAAAAAATAAAGGTAACGGCCTCACCCCCAGCTCCCCTCCCCCAGTTTCCACACCTGTTTTACTGAATCAGTGTGTGGGGGGTGGGCAGGTGGGGTACAGGGGTCATAATTTATATTTGTCAACACTCCCCCCCCCCCCCCCCAGTAATTCTGATACAGAGAATTCCATGAGTCAGCTCTTAGGTCATCACTGATCCAACCTGTAGCCATTATGCAAATGATATGTAGGAAGTACTGACATATCTACTTACTGTCTTCTCAGTTTGCCTTTAAACTCTTCACAGAGTCTGAGTTGAATATATACAAGCAGAATACTCAAAACACTGTGTTTGTCTGTTTTGAGCAAAGGGTGGTCTTTCTGAACCTTTGGTCTGGTTGTGTGCACAATGGGAGGGGAGGCACGGGCGCCTGGGTGAATCGTCAGCCAGCGGGGCACCAGTGTCACCAAGTCCTACCTTTGAATCGATTAAGACTGGCGTCTCCTTGGCTGATCCAGGTGACTGGCCACTCTTGTGCTGACTTAGCTCTCCTGTACGTTTAGTGCTTGGGCGAACGTGCACACCCAGCACAGTGCTTGGTTTTCTGTATATATGCCTGACGCTAATGTGACTGAGTTCATTTTACAACCATCAACAGATGCCTGGTCTGGGCTGCCATTGTTCAGTCTTGGTAACTGAGATGCAGACCAGAGTGGGCATCTCTCTGGTTCTCTTCCTCATCAGAACTCCTGGTCCCTCAAGGAGACACTGTCCCATTGTCCCACAGGAGACAATACCACTGGATGGGTGGTATACTGTTAGGGTTACAAGTCCTGGAGGTGAAAGTAGCTGATAACATCCTGCAAACTTGGGCTTTTCTTAATCAACATTAAAGAACACCCTAGAAAGAACCACATCCCTTTGTCCAGTGAAGCCAGTTCCCATGAGTGGAGTATCCTAGCAAAGAAAATCTCCCTCAATCCTAGATCAGAGACCTTCCCAGATCAGAGGGGCTTGGGGTTTTGCCTGCATGTGTGAGCAAATCCAGAACTAACTGCAAGTCTTCAGACTTACCAGGTACAGTTTCCTCAGATTCAGTGTCCATAGTCCTATTTATCATGAGGCTTTGAGACAATGGACACATTCACTGGGATAATGAGTGTTTAAACTCAGAGCTGCAAAATCCATAAGAAGAAAACCACTTTTTAAATGCCCTTTGGAGTATCTCAGGAAACCCAACTCCTTTGAAAACTGATAAACATTTATTCTGCCCTTCCTTCCACAAACCATATCTCAGGGTAACTAGACAGTTGAGGAAGGGAATGTTTTCTTTAGAGCAGTGGCCCAGCTAATCAGTGAAGAAGGCATGATAGAATACCACCATTTTGTAAGCCCTCATGACCTGATGGATCTAGATGTCAACCATTAATAAAGACCACCATACCTCCTGACAGGGGGCCCACCCCCCACCTAAGCAGTCTTGCCAAGAAAGTCAGCCTGAGTTTGACCTGCAGGAAGTTAAGACAAATGAGTTTCTTCAGCAAAGTAAAATTAATTCAAAGAGAAAGATGGAGGAATCCTACATCTAAGAGACATATCAAACCATTGCGATGTATGTATGGACTTACTTGGATCCTAAATCGAACAAATTGTTTTTTAAATAAAACAATCCAAAATATCCAGAATTGACTGGGTAAAGTGCACAAGATATGGTGATGTTTTTATGTTTAACAGAAGTACTATGATTGCAGTCTCTCTAGGGAGACACACTGAAATCTTTATGGATAAAAATCACATGAGGTCTGAGATTTCCTTCAAAATTATAGGGCAAGAGCATAGTTAGGGATAGAAAGGAAACCAAACCACATAAGTTGAGAACTGCTGAAGCAAGATGAGGCATCATGAGAATTCATTATATTCTGCATATCTTTTTGAAGAAATGTTTGAAATTGTTCATTAAAAATGCAAAAGTTAAAAAGAACTCAATGAAATTCCAGGATTGTATCCAAGTCCTTAATCTCTTAACCCCCTCTGAACCCCCAGGCTTCATTTTTCATAATAAAAGCAGAATGTTCATCAAATACAGATGGTCTACTCTCTGCCCTCTTACAGACACACAAACCTGCCTCAACAACTCGACATCCGTGTCCCCTGTTACAGTTTGGCAATGGGATCAGAAAAATCTGGATTCTGGTTTAATCCACACAGCCTTTTCTTCTCTTTCTCTTTCTTCCCCTGTTTGCCTTTCCTTTCCCTCTCCATCAGTGGCTTCCTTCGCCTGCCCTCTTTCCCAGACACACAGACATGGGTTCCCCCTGGAGCTGAACCAGTGAGAAAGCAGATATTTCCAGGTCCCCCAGGGAAGCTAATCCATGCAGCCCTACCCTGAGACCTTCCAGCAAGGTGGTTTAGTCACTAAGCCATGTCCGACTCTTGTGGCCCCATGGAATTTAGACTGCCAGGCTTCTCTTGTCCATGGGATTCTCCAGGCAAGAATACTGGAGTGAGTTGCCATTTCCTTCTCCACGGGATCTTCCCAACCCAGGGATCAAACCCTGGTCTCCTGCATTGCAGGCAGATTCTTTACCAACTGAGCTACAAGGGAAGCTTAGGGAAGCTTCCAGCGAGGACCAGACAGTAAACCACCTCCCTGTCCCTTAAAAGTCTCATGTCCATACAAAAACTTGCACATGGGTGCTTTTTTACAGCGACTTTATTCATAATTGCTAAAACTTGAAAACCAAGGTGTCCTTCAGTAGGTGATGGATTAATGAAATACAGGGCATCCAGATGGGAATATTATTAAATGCTAAAATAAGCAAGATGTCAAGTCATGAAAAGACATGGAACAAAGGCTACATGCTATGTGATTGCAACTATTTTGATGT